TACAGTGCTTTCCAGATACTAGCTGGCTGAATTTCAGATACTCTGAAAATGAAACAGTACTCCTACTATTCAACACAGAAAATTAGACTGCAACAAGCACTTGTTCTTTGCTATTGCTTTCCACTAAACAAACTCAAAGCTATAATTCAGTGAATTTGACTCAACACGAAGGCATCACAAAACATAATATCCCTAATATCTTACCGTGAGCACTTCTACCTTAGGCAGAGTGGGATGGGAGGAATAAAGACTGTATGCCTGGTGTCCCCCTGCCCCAGTTTGACAATGGTTCATTCCACAGAGGCAGCAAAAGTCCACCTCACTCCCCTAGCAACAAGACCAAGAATCTCAGTCTTGTGACTGAGACTTTGTGATTGCTTTGTGTGACTCCTCTCCCAGGCATTCCTTTTGGTTCCTCTCTTTGAAACTGGAGGACATCTGGCCCAATCTAGCGCTGGGCTGAGCTTAATCACACATGGCACTCATATCACATTGCACTGCCTGGAACATCCACTCCTGTATTACCACCCGAAGGCCCCTCCTGTAAGTGAGAGATAATGCTTCCAAGGCGGCAAAAATGTTCATTTTTCACAACTGGAGCCAATTTTCACAAAGGCAAGGCATTCCACTGACAAAATATCTTGAGGTTTTTCCATTTAGATAGGCTGTCCCTTGAACAAAAAAAAAAAAGTACCTTATATAAAGAAGTTGCAGCAGATGGGTAGCTTGAGTGCAAAAGGTGAAAATCAATGAGGAAGCCGAGCTTTAGGAAAACATGGTGTCCTGAAGATGCAATCCCTCATCTTCTGGAGACAGGGTTGTATGTGCTCAGTTGCTTCCGTCATGTCCGACTCTTTGCCAGCCCATGGAATGTAGCCCTCCAGGCTCCTCTGTCCATGGGATTCTCCAGGCAAGGATACTAGAATGGGTAGCCATTCTCTTCTCCAGGGGATCTTCCCAATCCAGGGATCGAACCCAGGTTTCTTATGTCTCCTGCATTGGCAGGCAGGTTCTTTACCACTAGTGCTACCCAAGTTTTTTCCAACACTCTACCACCCCCCCACCTAGTGTTTCAATGAGTATATGTACTGAATGCATATTGCACAAATGAAATCAAGAACACCCCTGGGTCCATAGGACTCTAAGCAAAATCTTCCATAATGCTCTTTTAAAATCTCCTAGCACTAATGCCACTGCAATAGCACCACAGCCTCGCTATATGTCTTCTAGTGTGATTATCTTTGGCTTTAAAACACAAATGAATCATTAGGGCTTTGAATCTTTTCTGGCAAAGAAATATAGCATGAGCTGATGCTCATCATTATGAGTGTCATCAGAACAAGGTCTATAGATAGGAATTTGCCCAGTTAATCCTCCTTTATTATCTCCACTAGCTAACAATGCATATGCAGTCACTCCACATAATCACTGCTCTAACAGACATGGACATTTGAAATATTAACTTTCCCACAGATTCCAGATTTTCAGTGAGCAGCTCTCAACAATTCATACTAATCATATATGTCACCATACTCCTATTAAATGTTCATGAGATTAAACACCACCCATGTTGTGATGACCAATATCATTTATAATATATTACCTTTTAGATACTGTAATTATAAATGCACCTAGGTGCCACTATAATAAATGCAAATTTAACCACCTGGCATGTAAGTAACCAGTACTATATCTAATTCTGCTTTTATTCACTTTTTAACATGCATTCAAGTGAACATATCTTGCAAAACAAAGCACAGAATATTTATAAAGTTAATGTGTTTTATGGTATAGGAAAATCTCCTTTTCAATTGCATAAAGAGGAGGGAAATTGACTTTCTTAAACTTAGGTATTTTATAGACAAATAATTCAAAATTGAAATTTATCAAGAAATTAGCATACAATATGTTAATATGTATAAGAAAAAGCACAATATAAAATATAATTTGGAATATTATAAGTCATGTTTATAAACTATAAATTCTACATTTATGCAAATTATTACAACAAAGATTAGATTTCATCCAAATAAAAGCAAACAGAAAACCCACCACAAAAAGAAAATAAAATTTCAAATGGAGGTTAAAAATTCATCATTGACCTCGGATTATGTTACTGTAAACTTTTTCATCTGTATGGCCACAGATTATTGCCCTAAGCATAATAATAGAAATAATAGTAATAGCCATGGTTCACATGTACCAAGGGCTTACTTAACTTACTGTCTCAAGCACTGTGAGTAGTGCTTCACATTCAAATCTAATTCAGTTTTTATGATAACCCAGCAAAAAAGATACAAATGAGGGAAGTGGAGGCTTGCACAAATTAAATGACTTGTCCAAGGATACAGGGCGTGGTGGGAGAGGGGTCTGACTTCAAACTACCCTCCTAAAAAAAAACAAAAAACTACCCTCCTAACTGACAGTCAGCCCCCAGCCCCACTCTGTACACCGTTTCCTTGAATGGCCTTGGGTAAGTTACTGCAGTTTCAAAGCTCATTTCCTTTAGCTGCAAAATGTGAATATGACTATATTCCAGAATTATTGAGAACGAAATAGGATAGTTCATGAGAAAGTGCTGTGCAAATAATGAAGTTGCATAATGTTGCTTGATATGCTACTGATGAAATAAGATAACAATATGTTGAAAATGAAGAAAAACCTGCCGAGTGACTCTCGGTCAAAATCTTCCAACAAAAATGGTATACTTAGGTAAATCTTTCTGGTTATTTTACCTTGCTTAACAGAAACTATTAAATAAAGGCAAATATGAATCAACATCATTACCACATCCTAAGAGATACACAGATGAGCACTAACAGACTATGTTAGAAGTGAATAATTAAGCTAGAGATGCATCTCCATCATCTCCATCTCTTTGTAGGCTACCATCTACAAAGTTCATACTACCAGATTTGGTCTTTTAAACAGCTCTTCAAAACTACGACTTCTAAAATAATTAACTAATTAACTTTTGGCTGAACTGGGTCTTCCTTGCTGCACAGGCTTTCTCTAGTTGTGGTAAGTGGGGGCTATTCTTTGTTGTGGCGCACAGGCTTCTCATTCCAGTGGTTTTTCTTTTTGCAGAGCACAGGCTCTAGGCACGCAGGCTCAGTAATTGTGGGGCACAGGTTTAGTTGCTCCAGGGTACGTGGAATCTTCCTAGACCAGGGATCGAACCCATGTCCCCTGCATTGGCAGGCAAATTCTAAACCACTGGACCACTGGAAAAGTCCAAAACTAGGGCTTTTTAAAGTTACTTTGAGTCACTATCAGGCCCAAGATAACTTTGATCCTCATACACATTTTTATCTGGTAATATTTAAGACCTTAATCCCAGGAAGGAAAAACAATATTTAATTCTCGTAATTCATCACTTTGTATAAGTGATTTGTTATCATTGGGCTTGTTTTTCCATTGGGCTTCACGGTTTAAAAAAATATTTCACATGAATTATGTTAACAAAGGTCATACAATTAGTATACTTGACCCTTGAATAATACGGAGGTTTAGAACACCCACCCTCTGTGCAGTTGAGAATCCACCTATAACTTTATAGTCAGCCACTGTATTCATGGTTCCATATTCACTGATTTAACTAGCCACAGATTGTATAGTACTGTAGTATGTAAATATTTGGAAAAAAATATAAATGGACTTGTGCAGTTCAAACGTGTGCTGTTCAAGAGTCAACTTGAAAGAAAATGTTAGAAAATGTTATAACAGGAAACTGGAATTCACCAAGGTTAATAATGGCAAAAAAAAAAAAAAATCTTATATCCATGCGTTGGTGGTGTATTTTAGTGAGATGGTGTACATGGGTATACAGATAGCTATCAACATGTGATATTTATGCATCTAGTATGTATCTAGCCTTTCTACCTTTCTTTTTTTAATATTTTAATTTTTAATTGGAGGATAATTGCTTTACAGTGTTGTGTAGGTTCCTGTTGTATAGCAGTGTGAACCCCCCATAAGTATACATAGATTTCCTCCTTCTTGAGCCTCTCTAGCACCATCCCCATCTCACCCTCTAGGTCGTCGCAGAGCACGAGGTGAGCTCCCTGCGCCACACAGCAACATCCCGCTGACTACCTGTTTTACACACGTAGTCTATATATTGCAATGCTACTCTCTCAACTTGTCCTACTCTTTCCTTCCCCGCTGCGTTCACAAGTGTCCTCTACGTCCGCATCTATATTCTTGCCCTGCCAACAGGTTCATTACTACTATTGTTCAAGATTCCATATATATGTGTTAATGTATGGTATGTGTTTTTCTCTTTCTGACTTCACTCTGCATGACGGCCCTAGGTTTATCCACCTCACTAGAACTGACTAACTGCACTCTTTTTTATGGCTAGTAATATTCCGTTGTATATATGTACTACAACTTCTTTACCCATTCATCTGTAGATAGACATCTAAGTTGCTTCCATGTCCTAGCTACTGTAAACGGTGTTCCAATGAACATTGGGGTACATGTGTCTTTTTTTAATTGTGGTTTTCTCAGGCTATATGCTCAGGATTGGGATTGCTGGGTCACATGATAGTTTTATTCCTCATTTTTTAAGGACTCTCCATATGATCCTCCATAATCTCTATATGTTTAAGGATATGAAGGAAGTACACATAGCCAAAAGAAAAAAATAGGAAAAAAGGGACCACATATTTCCAGCAATTCTTTTATACATTATCAAGGCACTCATGTCATTAGATGGAGTAGGAAGTGGCAACCCACTCTAGTATTCTTGCTGGAAAATGCCATGGACAGAGGAGCCCAGCAGGCTACAGTCCATGGGGTCACAAAGAATCAGATATGACTGATCAACTGAGCATGCATGCACACATGTCATTAGATGAAGAATAAGGGAAACCTTTATTTGCATTAAGCCCACAAATATGCTAAACCACATTTCCAAACACATTTTTATTTGAAGAGCTTAGGAAGTAAGAAGATTGTATTAATAAGAGCGCATAGAATCTCCAAGCGGCACCTACCTCCTGGCCTCTCGTGTTCTCCATCTGTGTGTAAGAGCATGGCAATGGGCATCCCTACATTCTTGGATCTTCCAGCCACAACAACATTTTTTCCAAATGTTTCAATTCCTTAAAACACAGAGTTTGATTTAAATGAAGAATAAACAACAAGAAGCAAAATAATCATCTGAACAGCCAACAAATATTCTTTAAAAACCTCTAATTAAATTTGAATTATTTTGTAAATTGTCTATAATGTCCCAACATTCATTATTTTAAAATATTTCTTTTTACACTTTTTGGTTTTGTCACTTTCCCTCTCGTTATATCCTCATTAAAAAAAAAAACACAAACATTTTCCAAGTTGTCATTAAATTATTTTAAACATGAAAATTCACATGAAGAGGTAGAAGTGTGAAGACTTAAAATTTATTATCATAAAACAGGCAAGGTACAACAATGTCAAGATTAACTGGCAACCAAACTTTGAGCAAATCTAGGACAAAATGAAGTGGGGAAAAAGTATTTTTCATAAAACTTATGTGGTTTACTTCATGGGAGGGAAGCACTACATGTACAGATTTAGAAAGATCTGAAAGGTAAAGCTTACAGATTTCATACACTTAACTTCTTTGGGGCATAGTTTCTTCATAAGTAAAATGAAAAAATTAGAATTAAAGTTTTATAACTATTAAAATTCTATTAATATAATTCTAGGATCTGCTTTCCCTTGAAAGTTCTCTTTCTCAGTTAGAAAAGAAAAGATTGGGATGAGGAGATGCTGCCAGAAATGTTAAGTGACAGTGATGGAGGCAGGGGAACTATCACCTGCCTGCTAGAGGTTCTTTGAGAGCATTATTTTATTTAGAGCACAATTCAAGGGCAAGTGTCTACAATGAAAACCTAGGTCATTAGAGATGGCTCAAATGTTCAGCACATTTTGTTTTTAAAGGTAAGGAGAAACATAACACATTTTGAAAAATATATATCAAAATACCTTAAGTTTATAATTTTAAAGTAGGGAGATAAATCTATTATTTGGAAAACGCACTCCCTGAAAGCTGACACAGCAGTTACTTGTAACCTGGTATCATTTCTTCTTTTATCTTATCTCAGATTATTCTTCAATGTCTATAACTTTATCTATTCCTGTAGATTGAAGTTTATCTTCTTTCACCCTTTCCATCAAGGCAATGCACAAATGCTCATGTGGCACTTAGCACCTATGTCCCATAGACCAACCTGTTCTTCTGATAATTTCCCAAACAGCACTAGCAGTGGCAGGTATGAGAGAATGCTGATCAAGACATAGTCTTCCAATGTTAATAATATGAAATCCATCTACATCTTTTTCAGGGGCTATTCCATTGCATACTGTCCGCTCATCCACATGGTCTGGAAGTAAATAAAATTGATTTAATTTTCAATTGTTATTTATTTGGAAGTCTGAAAAATTATATCTGAGGGCCTTGAGCCAGATCACTTATGGTTCAGCTTCAGTTAAGATATACAATCATTACTCTATTCCTTTTCTTGCCATGAAAATATTAAGTCAAAGTGCTCTTGACCAATAGCTGTAATTAACTTCTGTAAGAGTATATGCAGGTACAGAACAAGAAGTGACTAGCCTGGTAAAAAGGAAGAATCTGTAAAATAAAACAATACCAATGAGATCTGGGATGGTCAGATGATAAAGCTTTGCCACATAAGTTTGCATATTTAAATCTATGTTTTTCCAATACAAAATATTTCCATAAATAAGCTTCTATTGAATATCGCTAGCATTATAGGTTAAAAGGGTTATTAGAGTTAAAAATAACCATAACATCATTAATGCCTAGCTTCCTCCCAGATGACACAAAAGAAAAGCAAATAAAGCACACACACACACACACACACACACACACACATCATTTCCCTGAAGCATTATTACACTGAAATCCAAAATATTATTATGGTTTTCTTTATGAAGGGAAAAGAACATAACCTGAGTAATACATTAACCAAATGAGATATGAGATGCCAATCATCTCATTTTGAAAAGTAGGCTCTTAATATTATTCTGTATGGTGTAGCTTAGGTTACCCTAAACCCAACAATTAACCCACACGCCTAAAATACTAAAATAAAGGTGCATTTTCTATAAAAGTTTATTTATGCACTATACAATGAATGCCACTTCTACCTAATTTTTTAAACATTATCAATGCCTAAGTTCTAGCTGTTTTCAGAGAGTCATCCTTTGTGTCTTTTATCTTTTGTATCCTAAAAGGGACACTATTGCATCTTATTTAAATAGCTCCAATTTGCCATTATTAGACTGCCTAAGTCCTTTATATATGTAAAAGTCACAATGACTCATATTCAAATAGAAATTGGGTCTCAGGAATTCTTTCCAATCACTAGTTTGTCACTTTTGATTATTGTATTCATTCTATAATGTCCTAGCAGAGTAAGTCTCCATGTGTTTTCTCTGAAGATAAAAGATTATTATACGGGTTCTAGCAAAACTTTTCTTAGAATTAAATATTTGACAACAATATTTACTGTTAGAGGACAAAAATAGTCATTCCTTTTAAAATCTGGATGGTAGTGATGATGATGACGATGGGGATGATTCATTTCTAGACACCTACTCATGCAGAAGCATCACGCCATGAATATTTCTTACCAGAAAATCAAAAGTTTTGCAAATAAAAAAAGAAATAACTGTAATTGAACTCTCCATTATGAGCTATGACTTAAATTAGTTTATTTCCAAATTCAACTGACTACAGTATATGTAGGCCAATAATATATGCATGGGCACTTCCCTGGGGGCTCAGCGGTAAAGAATCCACCTGCCAATACAAGAGATATGGATTTGATCCCTGGGTGGGGACGATCCCCTGGAGAAGGAAATGGTAGCTCACTCCAGTATTCTTGCCTGGGAAATCCCCTGGACAGAGGAGCCTGGTGGGCTACAGTCCACGCGGCCACAGAGTCAAACACAACTTAGCAACTAAACTACAGCAACTACAAATGTATATATGATAGAAAGAACTCAACAAAGGCTCTTCGTAGATTTTGAGAGCCATCCTCTTACCAAGTAAGTCTGAACTGTACTGAATTTGGCCATCTACTGGTCTGTGCCGCTTTACTCACTAAAAATTAAATGTTGTAGTGAATAATACATCTCACACAATAGCTGAAATACTCAGGAAAAATGTAAGCATCTGAAAATTTTGGGACAAGCACTAGAAACTGGCAATTACAGACCTGTTCTCTCATGTGCTTCTTAAACTCTTAACTCAGATCATCATTTCTGAACAATTCTGTCTTAATTAAATTTTGTTTAAAAGACAGGTATGTGGACATATAGAAGGTGTGATGTAAAGAACACCTGAAAACTGATTTTTAGTGTGGTTATTATTTAATCTAAAGGGAAAAGCCTATGTGAGTAGATTAAAAAATGTTAAGATCATAAAAGTCAAAAAGAAAAAATCCATGGAGTTTTATGTAACTCTACATGATCTCAGCAGTAAATTAAATCTCACCTACATCCTTTACCATGTAAGATGTAACTTTTATTATCTAGTCTATAGTATATGAAAATAATATGAATTAATATATCTCATATTCAAATAATGCTTTCTAATGTTCATGTTGCCATTATACAGATTTCCTCTTTGGTCTTCATAGTTACCAGGAATGAAGGTAGAAAAGATATTATCCTCATTTTAAAGATGAAGCTCAAAATTTTGAGACTTAGCCAATCTCAAACTACCACTGAGAGGAAAGTCTGGAAATCAAATCCCCATCTCTTCGCACTAAAACAAGCTTTTCTTTCTGTGTTAGATACAAATCATAAATATAAATCATCTTAAATAATGGTCATAAATTAATAGGAGAAAGGGTCCCTATCCCTTCTAATCAAGACATTTGATAATTCTAAAATATTCCAAGGAAGGCAATGTCTCTTCTTCTTGTTGTTCAGTCATTCAGTTAGGAGACGGTGACTCCATGGACTCCAGCACACCAGGCTTCCCTGTCCCTCACCAACTCCTGGAGCCTGCTCAAACTCATGTCCACTGAGTCGGTGATGCCATCCAACCATCTCATCCTCTGTTGTCCCCTTCTCCTCCTGCCCTCAATCTTCCCAGCATCGGATATTTTCTAAGTCGGGTCTTTGAATCCGGTGGCCAAAGTACTGGAGTTTCGGTTTCAGCATCAGTCCTTCCAATGAATATTTAGGACTGACTTCCTTTAGGATTAACTGGTATGATATCCTTGCAGTCCAAAGGACTCTCAAGAGTCTTCTCCAACACCACAGTTTAAAAGCATCAATTTTTCAGTGTTCAGCCTTCTTTATGGTCCAACTCTCACAACCATATGACTATTGAAAAAACCATAGCTTTTACTATATGGACCTTTGTTGGCAAAGTAGTGTCTCTGCTTTTTAATGTGCTGTCTAGGTTTTTCATTGCTTTTCTTCCAAGGAGCAAACATCTTTTAATTTCAAGGCTACAGTCACCATCTGCAGTGATTTTGGAGCTCAAGAAAATAAAGTCTGTCACTGTTTCCATTGTTTCCCCATCTTATTTCCCATGAAGTGATGGGACCAGATGCCATGATCTTAGTTTTCTGAATGTTGAATTTTATGCCAGCTTTTTCACTCTCCTCTTTCACCTTCATCAACAGGCTCTTTAGTTCCTCTTTGCTTTGTTTCTTCTAGACCTCCACAGACAAAAGTACTCTTGAATTAACTAACATCTTCCTGGAGGCTCAGACAATAAAGAATTTGCCTGCAATGCAGGAGATCCAGGTTCAATCCCTGGGTCAGGAAGATGCCCTGGAGAAGGAAATGGCAACTCACTCTAGTCTTCCTGCCCAGAGAATCCCATGGATAGAGGATCCTGGTGGGTTACAGTCCATGGGGTTGCAGAGTCAGACATGACTGAACAACTAACAGGTATCTTAACACACTCACAAAAGCATCAGTTTACAGCAAACACTACCTTTTGTTAAATGAGTAATAGAAGTAAATATATTTCATGATTTTGAATGACTGCTACTGAAAGTCCCCTGATGTCTCATCCCTGTGGCCCGTGACTTGAAAAGAAACAATCACAAGTTTCAGTAGCATTAATTTTTTTTCCTAATTGCTATAAAACATTTTTGATTCATAGAAAACACTGGCAAAACAACTAGCCAGTTAATATCCTGTACAAATAAACGGGAAAACTGGCACTATTCACTTTGTATGTGTTTTCCCCATCTATTTAATAATATGAAAAATCATTAAATCATGCCAGGAAAAAAGTCTTCAATTAAATTCATAATACCACAATAGAACAGCTCAGGGAATGTCCTTGCAGACCATGCTTTAGAACTACAACACTGAATATATATTTCTGTGATTTATTATAATATGTTTAACTGCCTTTGGACAAAGAACAACAACAAAAAGAAAACAAACAAATTGCTGGCTTATTTTCCATCCATGGATTTTCACCTTACTGTTTAAAAGTACTTTTTTCCGCTTTCGCAATGCCCGTTGGATAAGGATAAGCTCATTAGCACAGTAAATATATTCTTTAGCTCGATTAGGTCTTTTGTCCTACGTTTGCCTCCCTCCATATACTCCACCCCTTTTCCTACCATCATTATCACACATCTTTACCTCAGGTCATACCAATCTGTGTCCCGCTGCCAAGCCCTCAGCATTAAGGTTTGCATTTCTGTATTCCTGGGCAGGACTATTCTTGCATTAGTAATTTATTACTGTCTATTCTTTCACATCCTATGTATTCTTCAACACTGATCTGTTACTACCTACTTCATCATCACAAAATGAAATGAGACTTTTTTCTTCTCTGGTCTCCAAAGAAATATAATATCAAAAGCACTTACCTCATTAGTTTAGTTAGGCGATCACGTTAGTTATTTAAGTATCTCTCTTAGTTAGGACTTAGTCTAACTTAGTTAGGACTTAGTCACTCAGTCGTGTCTGACTCTTTGTGACCCTATGGACTGCAGCACACCAGGCCTCCCTGTCCATCACCAACTCCAGGAGTTTATGCACACTCATATCCATGAGCTGGTGATGCCATCCAACCATCTCATCCTCTGTTGTCCCCTTCTCCTGCCTAATCTTTCTCAGCATCAGGGTCTTTTCCAATGAGTCAGTTCTTCACATCAGGTGGCCACATATTGGAGTTTCAGCTTCAGCATCAGTCCTTCCAATGAATATTCAGGATTGACTTCCTTTCAGATGGACTGGTTGGATCTCCTTGCAGTCCAAGGGACTCTCAAGAGTCTTCTCCAACACCACGGCTCAAAAGCATCAATTCTGGAGCCCTCAACTTTCTTTATAGACCAACTCTCACATCCATACATGACTACTGGAAAAACCA